CTCCGAAGCTTTCCGGTTCTCCACACTTTGTAATAGGAAATTCGAAAGCCACACCCCTTGTGGTACCTGCATAAGGGTGGTGTGTACGTGGCTGCGGACTATAACTTAATGTGCCGAGGCTGTGCTTTCGGAAGATATTTTCATTATGACACAATTGGGCTAATGCCGTTTGGACGCACGCAATTTTGGCAGTGAGCTCAGCTTATAAAGTGCCAAATCCACTAAAAACTTGTATAGAGGGGTGATTCAACATACCTGATTACGAATATGACACTCATTCTTGGCGCTGGCGAGAGGACACTACGATTACCTCCTGGGCTCAGCCTTAGCAGAGCGCAGATAATCGTAGTGTCATCCATTAGCGCCAGCGCCAAGAATGAATGTCATATTCGTAATCAGGATGTTTGAATGTTACATTCGTAATTAGGATGTTAAATTACCCATGTATACAAGTTTTGAGCGGATTTGGTGATTTAGGCGTCTTAAAAATGAGCTCGCTGCCAAAACTGCTTGCGTCCAAAAGGCATTAGCCCACAATTGTAGTCGCTTCTCTACCGAACACAGAACAAGATGACAGTTGTCTCAAAGCGGAACACCCCACGAGTAGCCAATTCTATGCCATAAGATGCAAACTATATTCGGTGCGAAATTAAGCGAAAATCATATAAAGGCAACTATAAATAGCACCGTTCAGCATCAGTGGAGTTTCGAGCTTCAAAAAAAATAGATGAAACTGCATAAAAGTTCACCTTTGAGCGCCTTCTTTTCTTTTCGGTGCTGAGCCATCAGCAATTCCACTGCATCATCACTATCGTCATGGTTGGAAGAGTCAACCATCTCTCACCTAAAATGCGTGATTCTACTAGTTAATTTATAATTTCTTGTCGCCATAACACCTCACGCGATTTTTAAAAGCAAATTGAATATCCTGCTTTGCGTGAAACAGTACACAAAATATCTGAAAGAAGGCAACCCAGATTGATTTTTCCAGAAATCAAAACATTAACACACTGATATAGCATCCTCATGATCATGACAAAAAATTCTAATAAAATTTTATAAATCTGTTCAGAATTACGACGTGAAACGGATTGCAAGTTGTGCCCTGCGGAAGTTACAGCATGAAATTCGTCTGTCCGTCTTCATAGGCTAACGTCTTCGTGGACGCAGGTGTGACCATTGTTAAGTGCAACTGCTCATTCAGCCAATGGGTTTACTCTCAGAATCAAGTGCCAGAAATCAGCGGCAGTGAAGGGCGTACTGAGGGGGGGGGAGGCTGTGAGAGATTACAGGGTTTTCGTTAGTTAGGAATGATCAATGCTGAAGAATGCACTGGCGAAGGTTTTCGGTGAAGAGCGATTCTGACGTCTCCACTACGCAGCATTAAAAAAACTTGATAAGAAAGCTTTTAGGCACTGCATATGCCATCATGTGGAATAATACGCCTGCAAAACGCCACTGCGCGCTGAACGGCTGCTGAAGTTGAGGGCATGACGTATTGGAATGCATATGCTACCACTTTTTCTTTCCCATCCGGCATTTTATGGTAAACTGCCGTATCACCTCCTGTATCACCTGTGCTCCCGTTGATCATCGAGTTCCTCGAGCGGGCGCCAGTAACGTCTCCATTCGTCCCTGCAACGTGCAAGAGTTGCCCAATGGACTCTCTCTGCTCGAGGGACACGATGAACTTCATACCATTCGTTCAGAGCTTTCACGAAGAAGTCTGACCATCGCATAGGCGGTCGTCCAGGCGTTCGCTTGACATCCCGTGGAATCCAGTCGGTGATCGCTCTGGTCCAGCGGTCGTCCTCGAAACGCATGACGTGCCCGGCCCACCTGATCTTCGAAACCTTGGCAAATGCGGCGGCGTCTCTGATCTTCGATCGTCGGCGGAGTGCGGAGCTCCGGATTCTCTCACTTGCGTGTAGCGGGAAACTCCGAGCATCGCCCTTTCGCGTTGAATAACGCCGACCGCATGCTCATCCTGCTTTCGTAGAGTCCAAGTCTCTGAGGCGTACGTCAAGGCAGGAAGGACCGCGGAATCGAAGAGGTGGGCACGGAGCTTGGTGTTCTTCGTCTTCTTCGCTACTCCCTCGATGTTCTTGAAGGCTCCCCAAGCCGCTCGCTTCCTCCTGCTCAGCTCTGGAGCTAAGTCATTCATCATATTGATTTCACGACCCAGGTACACATAGCTAGAGCATTCAGAGATGGTCGTTCCGTTGAGCGTGAATGGGGCATCAGAAATCCGTTTCTCATGAACATCGTTAGATTCAGCCGTAGACCG